GCAGTTCCCATTGCATACGGGCTATTTATATTGTGTCAGCGGGCAAGGAAGTTCCTGCTGTTTCTCTGCTTGATTCTGGGCAGAAGTGTAATCCTTAAAGAAAAAAAAAAGCCAAGCTCAGCCCAATGATCCTGATCTGAACTTGATATTCTCTGTAGTAAATGATAGTTTTTCTGAAACAAGTAAAACGATAAACTAAATTATGAGTATTTATGCACTAGTCATGCCTGGCTTTCCCCTGGCTCCATAAATATTTACTAATTTATTTATTCACCACATCTTTCATCCTCATATCCCTACCTAGGACTGTGGCCTGCACACAGTAGGCATTTCATAAACGTCTGGTGAGGGAATAAATAACCATATACGGCAAGTCCTTGCAAGATGTCACGCAGTGCAAAGAACTTCAGGGACTTTCTGTACAAGCACTCGTGGCCTGAGGACAATGGTGAGTCAACAAATGGGACAGGACAGTGTGTGACAAGGGCTCCGGGAACCCTTCTATTAAAGGTGGGAGGTCATGGGCTGCAGGGAAGGCAGGCAATCAGCAAAAGCGGGCAAGACGTAAAAAGGACCTTGAATCACGCCTGAAGGACATGAGAGATCTGAGCAAGGATCTGAAAGGAAAGATGATTCCACACACAGAGGACGGCACATGTCAAGGTGTGAATGGCAGCAAACACAAGGTTTATTCTGGAAACAGTGCCCATTCTCTTGTATGATGCTTGGCATATTAATAAGCTACTTCACAAAACTTGGTGTCTAAACTAGTACTGTATGTCAGATCATTTTGAGCTAACTGTGTACGTTAAATCCTCATCTTCACCCAGAATGTAACCCTGAACATATTCTGCATTGGTTAGGTCCCAAACCTCTTCAATGTACATTCAGGAAACCAAAATAGTCTAGCACAGAGCCGTCCACTGGGCACTTCCTGTGATGATGGACATGTTCTCCCCGCACTTCGCACCCAGTGGCCACCAGCCTCATGTGGCTGTTAAGCAGGTGAGATGTGACTAGTGCAACCGAGGAAGTGAATTCTGAACTTGAGCGGTGGCACAGCACAGGAAATAACTGTGACCAGCGGCCACAGTGTGGCACCGTCCCTGGCATAGAGCAGGCACACCATAAAAGTGGTGGCAGCAGAGAGGTAAGCTGGAGGGTGGGCCTTCAGGCTCCTCAATGTTCACTTCGTGGACGTGGTGACCCAGGCTCCACGTTAGACTGCACAGCCTCCTCGAAAAGGCCTGCGGGAGCTGCCGGAATTATTTACTGAAGTTACTTAAGACCTGCTTCTTCGTGGAATAAAACGGATCTACAAGTTCCAGAAAGCAGTTATTGAAATTAAAAAAAAAAATTATTTTTTGGTGAGAAGAAAATGGGCGAAAATAAGGTGAATAGAATATTAAGTGAAACAGAAGAGAATTAGAAATGAAACTGCTGGAACTGGAGGAAGAGGACGCGAGAAGCTTATAATAGGGCATCGCCGTCCGCAGCCCTCAGACCTCCTGGAAGACCCAGGAGAACACGACACAGCGCTCCACCACCCACACTCCGCTCGCTCCGAACAAGCCCACGGCGGCTGAAGTGCTGGGCCACTTTGCCGTGTCTTCGCCGGCCACACGGAATGAAAACTACATTGTTCTTTTGTTTCACCAAGGCCACAGAGGGGAATTAATACGAATGAGACGTTCCTATGCTGTGATGTGGGCAAAATGTTTGCCAATGCCCATAAAATATTTAAAGGGAAGGACCAATGAATAAACTTGCAAGTTGAATAGAAATCTCTGGACACAGTAATTATTTCATTTTGTATTTTAAATGAAGCATGAATTTTAAATGACCTGCAAGTGCAGTTTGGTAAATAACCTTTCCTGTATTTAAATAAAAAAGTATAACGTGCCCTAGCCGGTTTGGCTCAGTGGACAGAACATCAGCCTGCAGACTGAAGGGTCCTGCATTCGGTTCTGCTCAAGGGCACATGCCCAGATTGCAGGCTCGATCCCAGTAGGGGACGTGCAGGAGGCAGCCGATCAATGATTCTCTCTCACCACTGATGTTTCTCTCTCTCTCCTGCTCTGAAGTCAATAAAAATATATTTAAAAAAAGAAAAGTATAACATGACACCATTGGCTGGTAACTTACACGGAGCGTACCCAAGGCGCAAGGGGTTCCTGACAACGTACCCTCAGGGTCAGGAGAGCAGCTCTCATTGTAACTGAGAACAACAGGCCCATATCCTCGACACAAAGCATGTTCTTAGCTGGAAACCAGCACACGTGAGCAGCACATGTGAGCTACCACGATGTACATGCTGACGTCCATGAGCCGCCTCTGAGCGGCCATCCCTGTCGGCTCGCTGGCCCCGAGCAACAAGTTCACCCAGAGGTGCTCAATCTAAGGCCACCGAGGTGTGGAGATCGCTGGGTCTGGGGAAGGAAAAAGGCTCCTGGCCAGAAAATCTGCGTTTGTGCCTGAGAAGGGACAACACGGAATTCACACGGTGAACCTCTACACTCTCAAACGGGAGATTACAGCAACGCCAAAGGGAAGGAATACAGCAGGTCCTCCCATCACATCCTTTCATCCAACGCTGTCTCGTCATAAGGGTATAGTTTTCTCTGCTGAATTGGTCTGCTAAATGTGGTGCCTTTAATGATAGTATCTGTGATGATATTTAAAATAATGCTCCTTAGTGCATGCTCTTTAGGCTGAGAAAATGAATACTGTCCCCATACAATGCTGTGATGTTGTCTGAATTTAAGTCAGAAGGGCAGGGATGGACCAGCTAACACAGTGATGGCGAACCTATGACATGTGTGTCAGAGGTGACACGAGAACTCATTTTTTTGGTTGATTTTTCTTTGTTAAATGGCATTTAAATATATAAAATAAATATAAAAAATATAAACCTTTGTTTTACTATGGTTGCAAAGATAAAAAAATTTCTATATGTGACACAGCACCAGAGTTAAGTTAGGGTTTTTCAAAATGCTGACACGCCGAGCTCAAAAGGTTCGCCATCACTGAGCTAACATGTGCTGGGACACTGACAATTCATTTCACATCCTTCAGTCTGTCCTGATTCGTCCATCATTTGAGATGAAATAAATGCATTTCTAGAAACTTCTGTCAGAGCGACAGTCCCTTTTTCAGGGTAGAAGAAGGCACTTAAATGAAGTCACAGGAATCCTTGTGACATGCACAAAGGAAGCCGATCCAGATCACTGTTTTTCTCACAGGTGCTATTTCTAGCATCGGACACAAAGCCGGGGGAGCTCTGCCAGAATCACACGGGGCCCAGCAGGCTGCGTGAGGAAGCTGGGCTGGTGCTAGCAATAGTGTCGGATCTCCCGAGACCCATCAGGCACAGGTGAGCGAGCAGGTGGCGGCTGAGGAGGTGGGTGACAGACTGCAGGCCCAAGGAGACTTGACAGAGACCCCGGAAGCCAGCGCTGGAGAAGAATCCAGTTTTGACAGAGATGGCAGGAGAGTTTGCAGGTGGGTGTGGTGTGGTCGAGGGGAGATGATATGGGAATTCAGGGCTGAACCATGGGGAGGAAGCCAGGGCAGAAGAGGGTGGTGAGGGACAGAAGCAGTTCAGGTTGGATGACCGGAGCCTGATCATCAGTAGGAAAGGAGAATATAAGGGAGTACATAGGAAGAGAAATGGGTTCTTGAATGGGATACTTAATGACTGGCAGATGTAAGGGGCAGCTTCCTATAGAACACGCCGCACATTCCATGCACAGGGAAGGGGAAGGCAGGGAGGTGTGGTTGGGGGGGAACCACACAGACCAAGGACAGGGCTGAGGATAGGGAGCAAAGAGCCAGAGGAGGTCTAAGGCCCCGAGGGGGAGAAACAGTACAGGGACAAGGGCAACAAGAAAAAAGAACGTCCCTTCTCCTTGGAGTGTTTCTTTGCAATGATTCTGAAATACAGGAGACATACAGAGATGTGCAAAAATGTCACTGTCGGTTTTTAAATTCTATTAACTAAAACTATACATATATATAGTGTGAATGTACTTAATGCCAAAGAAATGTGCATTTAAAAATGGTTAAAATGGGAAATTTCACTTATGTATATTTTTACCACAATTTAAAAACACTATAGATACACTACATATACATACATATAAGTAGTCATACGAAGGCATTTTTATTTATTTAAAATTTGAGGCTCTGGTTGCAAATGCCTGGAATCCCATTAAAGGATAACCCCACCGACAACTGGCATGTGTTCAAGTTTCAATCATTAAGAAATAGAAAATAATTCCCCAATAACCAACCCAAAGCAAACCAAACCAGAACAAAACCCCTGCCTTAACCCACTGTACGCCACAAGGGTCCGCAGACGTAAGCGGCGTGCCTTCCCCACACGCCACGCGCGTCTATAACAAAAATGTTTTCCCTAAGTGGCAGCCCTGATCAACTTTAAAATTATTTTTCGTGAGAATTTTCAGCTGAAAATATTCACGAACACCCGAATTGTGAGTAATATATTTATTTTTATAATATTCATTGCAAATTGATTTTTTAAATTAAATTCAAAATACCGTGGTGCGTGGGGATGGTTTCCGTTTTGGACGGTGGTAGTTAACGGGTTAAAACGACCAGCAGGGGAGAAGACGCCTAAATGTCCAGGCAGTGAAAGCACAATAGTCCAGGAAGGAGGGATGCTGGCTGGGGCCCTGGGCCGAGTCCCAGGTCTGTTTTGATTTCCCTGTATCCAGCCCCCTCGCTGTGATCAAGAGAATGGCTTCACACAAAGAACAGGAAAGACCTTTTAATAAAAACAAACACTAGCCCCTCTTGCTGTCAAGGTTGCACCTCAAGATGTTTGCAAGGTTAGAAGAAGGCTACAGAGATGATTTTCAACCTTAATTCCTGATTTAACAAACAATATTCCGACTGATTTGCAAGCTGACTTTCAGCGTCAACCCACCCTTTGCAAAAGCAATTGAATTTCTACTATATCACGAATGGTTTTCAAGTCTAATGGAGAAACAATGCTAAACGTCTTGCTTTGATTTGGTGGTGCCTTTCTGTGGTGGGCAGACCGACAGGAGCAGAGCAAGGATGATGGGCCAGGTGCAGAGGTCATCAGGGTGAAAAGCCGTGGGTGCCTAGCAGAGGACAATTGTAAGAGTGGGACCTTATCCCCAGGTGGCTTTTCTCCCCTAGCATGTCGCTGGTCATGCGGTTTGGGTTCGGACCCCCTGACCTCTCCTCCCTAGGGATGACATTTAGGCCTCAGTTCTATTCCAGCTCGAGGCCCAGAAAAGCAGCAAAAGCAGACACCAACACCTTAGCCAAGGCTGACTTCAGGACCAGCTGCATTGACTAGTGACCCCCTGCCCTAGAGCTGACCAATCAATCAGTGGAGACCCTGATCCTGAAAGAACACACCCGGAAAGCTAATGAATAGTCTATTGAGACCTCCCCTAAAATCTCCACTTTAAAACCCCTGGGACATAAGACCCAATGCACTCTCCCTCTTGGGGCCTTTCTCCTCCTTCCCCCCTCCCCCACTGTGCATCACCGTTATCTTCCTTACTTTTAAGCTCCAAGGGCCCTTCCTTTGCCTCTATAATAGTGGTTCTCAACCTTCTGGCCCTTTAAATACAGTTCCTCATGTTGTGACCCAACCATAAAATTATTTTTGTTGCTACTTCATAACTGTAATGTTGCTACTGTTATGAATCGTAATGTAAATATCTGATATGCAGGATGGTCTTAGGCGACCCCTCTGAAAGGGTCATTCGACCGCCAAAGGGGTCGCGACCCACAGGTTGAGAACCGCTGCTCTATAACTTGTTTCCCAAGCCCAATTCTTCTATGAATTACTTCTTCGACCTCTGTGATATTCCAAATAAATGTTCGCTTATAGTTTGAGTCTTGGCTCTGAATTCTTTCCTAGCCAGAACCCAAGTACCCAGGTTGCTGAACCCAGGTACGTCCAATCCCACCATTCTAACACCAGATGCTGCTCTTGCCACCCCCAACATCTCTTTCTCAGTGCACTAGAAGCCTTGGATTCTAATTCCTGGTTTTAAGCCGCTTGGACAGGAAATCAATCCTAGAGTCTCCAAAGGTACCTGCGCTGCAAGATAATTCTTGCAGTCAATTCAGGAGGCCCTCTCTCTTTCTGAGTGATCGTGGCAGGAGGAAGATCTTATACTGCTTGCCAGCTTCCTACGTTTCTGCATTTTCCTCCGAGGCATTTCAGTTGGTCCTCACAGCAACGAGGTGAATTTGAAGTTGGTGTTACTTTCAGACACTATCGATAAGAAAGCCGAGGCTCAGAGATATGAGTCAACTTGCCCAAATTTGTATCTTTAGTAGGAATTAAGCCTTGTCAAGATTTGAACACAATTCTGCATGACCCCAAGGCTTTATTCTTCTTATTCTAAGTGTCCCTTTGCTATGGGGGTAAGTCCCCCATCTTCTCTGAACTTCTGTTTCTGCATCTATAATGCATAATCCACGGACTTATGCTTGAAAAAAGGTATGAAAGAGGAATGTTAGCTAGTAAAGTGCAAACATGGATTTGTCTTTCTGCTATCCTATTTTCCTGTGTGCTTGCAGAGATACACTAGTCAACTATAAAGATATTGTAAAAAGTAATAATACAAAAGACAATGTCATATAGAAGATGAACTTGGAGGGAACTCTTAACTTCTTAAAGGGGACTGTGGTTGTCTAATATGATTGATATAATATTGTGGCGGGCAGTTAGATAGACATGAGCAGAGCAAGGATGATAGGCCAGCTACAGAAGGTTACCGGGGCGGAAAGCCCTGGGTGCCTAGCAACGGGCAAAACTGGGAACACAAGGACCTCATGCTGGGGGTGACCTTTCCTCCCCTAGTATATTGCTGCTCATGCAGTTTACACCCCCCTAACCTTTCATATTGCTGGTTGTGTGGTTTGGACCCGCTCCTGACCTTTCATATGGCTGGTCTTGTGGTCCAAACCCTTCCCTGACCTTTCTTCCCCTGGCATATTCCTAGTCCAGTGATGGCGAACCTTTTGAGCTCGGCGTGTCAGCATTTTGAAAAACCCTAACTTAACTCTGGTGCCGTGTCACATGTAGAAATTTTTTGATATTTGCAACCATAGTAAAACAAAGACTTATATTTTTGGTATTTATTTTATATATTTAAATGCCATTTAACAAAGAAAAATCAACCAAAAAAATGAGTTCGCGTGTCACCTCTGACATGCGTGTCATAGGTTCGCCATCACTGTCCTAGTCATAAGACCCCCTTAGAGGAGGAACAAGGGGCCAGAAAGAATAGCCTCATATGACACCCATAACAAGCCCTTGCACGACCACTCCCTTAAGGGTTGGGCCCTCAGGACAATGAAGTTCTGACCCGTATTACATCATCTTAAGAACACATGTAATTTTGCTCTTTCTCCTAAATTCTCCCCGCGAGCGAGACTTGCAACCAGGGGAGCAACAGGCAGTGGCTACTGCAGCTTATCCTGCATTAAGTCCCTAACCTGTCTCAAAGGCCCCTTTTCTATGACTTTTCAGTGAGCTAAAAACAGCCTCACCTTGGCTCACTTCCGTCACTGTGACTTTTACTTCCAATGAGTCTACACAGCCCGGCGTGGCTCACTTCTGTGCTCTAACTGTTTCTAGGAAGCTAAAGCAGAGCACTGTCCTAGGCTCTCTCCTGTTGCCTTTTCTATCCTAAGCCCTTCCTTTGTTTCACTGTTCCCAGCTTTAATAAATATGCTCTCAAAATCACCTGGACTCGTTTTGTAAAATCTTTTCCTGCATGAAATCAAGAATCCATACACTACTGGCCGGCCCTAGGCAGACCTGCCGCGGGCCCAATCCCTTTCTGGTGACAATATGATTGAGAGAATGTGACGCACTCTATTTAAAATTTAAATATGTTAATTCCTACATGATAAGTTTCCTATGAGCAATTAGGTCACTGCATTTTATTCCAAATTTTTAAAATTATTATGAATCAACAGCTGCCTCCAGTACTCTAATCAAAAGTTGCCTACTCTTGAATTAGGAGATACTTTGGTTAAAAATGTGCAGAATTGTTCTCGAGGAGTGGCTGCTTAACTCAATTTTCTGTAAAGTTTAGCATAGACCCCCAAGTCAGCAGTGTAGCTTGTTTCTTGCTTTAACTATGGGCTCCCTGCTGTTGTCCAGCCTCACAGTGTCTATGAGGTCAGGTGTCTCTCTTTCTCTCTAACTGTTCCTCTTTCCATGGGGGTTTCGAGCCATTTGTACTCCCCACACACAAGCAATCATGCCCTGTGCTCCCACACTATTTCAGCTTCCTCCACGTGATCTCAGGTGTTTCTTCTGTAACACAGGCCTGGGGCAGGGGTGGGGCCATCGAAATCAGACGCCATGGATCCTGTACTGAATACATTCCTAGTGTGATGGAGCTGGAGGAGGCCCCAAAAGGCACACAACACAAGCCCAGTCTGAACTGAGAAGAGGGGCAGCAGGGTGATTCATCCAAAAGCATTTTATCGCCTTTCTTCCTGCAGAGCAATCCCACACCTACCAAGCTGCCAAGCACCTAATGATTAGTCATGGTAGGGGTGGGGGGACAAAAGGGAACAGAAAGGGTTTCAAGAAAACCATTACTTAGTCTACAAAGGTTCACCAGCACTAAATATGCAAGAAATCAGGGGAAGAAGAGTATGAGCTCGGTTATCGTCTGCACCAACAAATTCAGATTTTATGCTGTTACAAGACAAGGTTGTAAATGGGCTCACTTACCAGTGACAGGAACTCAGCTCTGAGGGAGGCAGTATGAATGAAGTGAACCAGAGCAGTACTAACTCTTTTCACAAACAGCCATGTAACAAGAGTCCGGGAGGCTGATTATCAAATAAACAATTATGCAGCTCAAATCTAATTTCTGTTATAAGAAAAGGGAGCAGCATATGTTGGCAAAGGAGGTAAGAATCCTGGCCTCGAGACCACCTATCAAATGCAGGACTTCAGACCACATTATTATAAATTTTCCCTTTCCACAGGAGAGCAGACGTTTTAACAGCATTATCTCCGTGAAGAATGGGAATTCAGGAAAAATAAATTTAGTGGGAAGGAAAAGGGTTCATCTTAGGGTTAGTGCGCATGTCTGAGCCAGCATAACTCAGGAACAGGCTTCTATTCCCTGACCTTTTCACCTGGGAGGGTCTTCTTGAAAAGAGACACACTTAGGAAATCATTCATTTAAAAACCAAAACTGCCGTGGCCGCTCAGAGTGGGGTGGGTGCTTCAGACGGGACGGTGATGGTCTGCAAGTGACTTTCCTACAGTTTGTGTAAAGGGCTGAGGGCTGTGCCCGGCGCTGAGACCCCGGCAAGGTTTACCTGGGCAGCAGGGTGCAGGGAGGAATACAGATCACCAGGGCCGGCCGCCATCTGACTGGCTACATGCCTGACGTGCCCACTACAGGGCTGAGTCTATCTTTGCTTATCATCTCCAGGGTCAGAGAACCCACGGCTTCCAATTAGAATACTTTTCTTCATGTAAAACCCAAGTCTCCTCCCCCTATTTACCCTCTACCACCTCTGCAACGCAGAACATTTTAGTCTCATTCATACAAGGGCTTTGCAACATGACAAACGTCTTCTGGGCTAACCATCCCAGTACATTCCTGAAATCCTTCTTTCCACAAACATCTCCTGAGCCTGTACTGTCTCCCTCACTTGGCCCGGACTCTGGGCCCATCTGTCATGCTCCTCTCCAGGCGGGTCACTCAGTTACTGCCCCTTTCGGCAGTATCTCCCCACCCCCAGCTGTGAACACAGTACTGAATCCTGAAGAACAGAGCAGGACAATGGCCTCCATCATTCTGAATACTCTCCCAGCTCCGCCTCTTTCTGCCTGTGGGACACTGGGCAGGTTCCTTGACCTGTTTGTGCTTTAGTTTCTTTATCTGTAAAATGAGGGGTGGTGGCTGGGGGGCATGTCAACAATTCCTCCCCAACAGGAACATCGGGTGCAACGAAGTTAATGTACAAAGTACTCATTATGCCTGGCACGCAAGCTTTCCTCAGAGGGAGCCTTCGCCTCAGGTCAACATCACGCTCATGGTGATGCAGCGCTAGACTTCCAGGCAATGCTACTATTCACCTTTTTTTATTCAGCTTTTGGCCACTGCCATCTGAACAGGAAGGAGGGGTGACGCTATTACTGTGACATCTGAGAGACAGACCGACAGAATCTGTGAGGGATGGAGAAGCAGTCAGCTACAGGCTATCCACCCTGGCAATCATGGGCTACCTCTGAGGACAAAGCTAGGAGCCAGGGCTGGAGCCACAGAAGGCAGAATGGAGATGTTAGGTGGGTGCCGGGGTAAACTGAGGAAAAGTGAGGTCCTGGAAGTCAGATTTTCTTAGTGAAAGCTCATTATCCAGGTATGTTTAAAAATATACCAGATGATCCAGCAACTCCACTTTTGGGTATATATCGAAAAGAATTCCAAGCAGAGTCTCGAAGAAGGATTTTTACACACATGTGCACAGCAGCGTAATTTACAATAGCCAAGTAGTAGAAGCAACCTAGGTCGCCGCCACAGATGAATGGATAAACAAAATGTGGTATGTGCATACAACAGATGACCCTTCAGTTTTAAAAAGGAAGAAAATTCTGACATATGCAATAACATGGATGCATCTTGACATTATGTTAAGTTACTGCTATAGACTGAACATTTATGTCCCCCGAAGGTGTTGAAGTTTAATCCCTAAGGTGACGGTATCAGGAGGTGGGGGCTTTGGGGGGTGATTAGGTCATGAGGGTGGAGCCCTCATGAATGGAATTAGTGCCCTTATAAAAGAGACCCTACAGAGCTCCCTCACCCCTTCTACCCTGTGAGGATGCAGTGAGAAGACCCTCACCTGACACTGAATCTGTCTCAATCTTGGACTCCCCAGCCTCCAAAACTGTGGGAAATTCATTTCTGTTGTTTATAAGCTACCCAGTCTATGGTATTCAGCCCAAAGGAACTGAAAACTGAATAAGCCAGTCACAAAAAGACAAATACAGTACCGCATAGTCTCACTTACATGAGCTACTTGGAGTTTGACAAGTCAAACTCATAGAGACAGAAAGTAAAATGGTGGTTGCCAGGGGCAGAGGGGAGGGAAGGAATGGGGAGCTATTGTTTAATGTAAATGTACTTAATACCACTGAACTGTACACCTAAAAATGATAAAGATGGCACATTTTATGTTGTGTGTATTTTACCATCATTTAAAATTTTTAAAAAAAATATACTAAACATAGCTCAAGAGAACTAAAACAAGGGAGAAGAGCTATCTATAGTAGAAATGAACAAAGGAAATCCGACCCACGATTAGACAAGCCTTATGGAGACGCTCAGAAGTCTTGTTCCTGTGCAAATCCTGAGAGTGTTAGCTGTGGGACCCAATTCTCCAAAGCCCCTCCTCACTGAGGCCTACTATTTGGAAGCAGAGAACCGTCAAGAGCGCAGGCTTTGGGGCAGGGAGCTCGGGCCTGCCCTTGGCAATGTGGCCCTGTCAGATGGCTTACCCTCTTTCACCTTCTCTTCCTTCTCTGCCTGTGGGCTGCTGTGAGGACCAAATGGGACAAGCCATGTGAAGCTGTCAGCACCAGTTCAAGTATAAGAAACATTAGCCATCATGACTGTTGTGGGATCTTACCTGAACATCATACAGGAACTGGAAACGACTTCTTTTACTTGCAGCTTCTCTCACAGCCCACGCCAGGTCCACCGAGCCCTTTCCACCCATCGACCAGTGGTAGCAGGGGACCGCATCAAAGGCGCCAGCCCTCTTCGCGAGCTCACACACCAAGTCAATCTCAGCTCGGGTGTCAGTCCTAGTGATGAAAATGTTTGTGGTTTTGCATCTGCATTCATTTAACGATGTTTTTAAAGAAAGACTAACCATTTATACAGAACTTTGTTCCCTAACACTGAATATATTTTAAACATCAAAAGTGGTTACATCATGTTTAAATAAATCAGACTTAAAGAAAGACATGGGGGGAAAAAATCCCTTGCAACATGATTCAAATATTTCAAGTTGTTAAGGGTTTTATTGAGAAAATTCCATAACACATCCCTTTGATCATCCACAGTTTTTCAAACAGAAATGCTGGGTGGAATGAAAAAAAAAAAAAAAGGCCAAAGAAATGTAAGTCACTATATAGATTTCATTTCCCTAGTAACATCTGAGAACACTTCTGCTGTAATGAAACCAATCAAACCAAACCAAACAAACAGAAAGAGGAGAGTATTCCTGGATTCTTTCAGATGAAGCGGAGAAAGACCAACATCCTAAGACACAAATCTAGTTCACAGGGTGGCCCAAGCGCTACGACCACATTGAAAGGAGGACGCCTGACTTACTTGAAGACATTCAGAGCCACGACAACAGGAACCCCGAAGAGCTGAGCGATCTGAATTTGCTTCTGGAGGTTACAGCAGCCATCTGCCACCAGCTGGATGTTCTGCAAGAAAACCAGACCCCCATGCATCGCATCCCACCACACCTGCCACACTCAGCTGGGAGGGCCGCCATGGCAGGGCTTGCTGCCATATTTGCTCACTCTGTGGACCTAGAAGCTATGCAGGAGCTATACACAGGTCCCATTTCCCCCCAAGAGAGATGAATGAAGAAGGAGGAGGTGGCTCCTTTTCAAAATCATTTCTAAAATTATTCGGAGTCCAATGGCATATTTGAGTCTTGAGTCAGGCAGCTATTTCTGCAGCTGACCAGTGGCCAGGACATAAGCAACGTGCCCACGCCCCTGCAGGTTGGTGGACAAGAAGAAGGCTCCAGGAGGGTGAGGAGAGCTGTCTAGCTAGCCTCTGCTCGAACCCCTGGCGCCACCTGTAGGAGAGGAGAGGTACTGTTGACAGTAAACCAAAGTCTACAGAGTCAAGTAACTCAGGCAAGTCATAAAGCCAGGAGTCAGTTTTTCCCACACCTAAATACATGGATATAAGTTGTGTATTTGTTTCTGTGCTGGAGACCGTGAGCTTGGGGTAAGGAGCAGTAGATAAAGCCCATATCTATTATTTCTTAAGATTGAAGAGTTAACTTGAATGGATTGTATCCCTACCCCCAACCCTTTCTTCTAGGATTATTAGAAAAGCACTTTTCTAAGTTGCCGTGGGTGGAGGACTCATCTACTAATTGCATTTAACTGCAAGCCAGTGGTTAACTGGGTGTGAATGATTCTCCACTGTGGCCTTTTAAAGCAGTCACTCTTACCTCCTCTGTGTATTCTTTCTTAAGAGGGACACCAGCAGTTACCTGAGATGAGACAAAATGAAGAATAATTTCATTAAAAGGCTTACTCTAGCCCTCGCTGCTGTGGCTCAGTTGGTTGGGCATTGTCCAGTGCACCGAGAGGTCACTGGTTTGATTCCCCGTCAGGGCACATGCCGGGGGTTGCAGGCTTGGTCCCCAGTAGTGGGGATGCAGGAGGCAGCCAATTGATGCTTCTCTCTCAAATAATTAAAAACATTAAAAAATAATGCTTCCTCTAATTCATCAAGAGCCGAAAGAAACACAAATCAGACACTTTTAGGGAAGGTGCCTTTAAAAGTACATTTTGTCATTTTAAACCAGTAACTGGTAGTTCTGGCCGAACATAAATTCTCGTGGGAAGCTTTTAAAAAACAATGGTTCCTGGGCCCCTCCCAGACAAATTAAAGCAGGATTTCTGGGGCTGGGACCCAGGATCAGTAATATTTAAAAATTCCCCCAGGCGATTCCAATTTGAGCCAATATTGAGAACTTTCATAATGTTGCCCATTATCCTAGCATAAAATGGAATCGATAATGTGATCAATACCTGAATTATACAAAGCGCACCATTTTTTTTAAGTCATTTTAAAGCAATGCCATTACAATTTATTTAGTTATTTATTTATTTTGGCCTAGGTTGGCAGGACAGCTTAAAGACGAAGAAAGTTGAGAGAATGCAGGTGTCTTGCTGAAGGTTATAGAGCAAACGAGAGCAGAACAGGGGCATGAATATAATAGGGTTCTGAAACCCAATTTTGTACTTTTCCACAATCCCACATGGTTTTTATCAATGGCCTGCTACCGGTTTCAGTGAAACCCTAGAAAACATTTTGATTTACTGAGGGCATGGTGACTTACTCTCAGTGGAAGAGGTCTTGAGAATATTGAAATCCTTGGGAAAGAAGTTACCTCTGTAACAGATCAGATTGTTTTTGGATTGTGTGTGAAAACAAAGTATTTTCAGATGGGTTTTCCCAGCACTGAGTGAATGCTAGATTGAAAAAAGGACAGAAAGTACTGCTGAGCTTGCACACATGCACAGTTCTGCAGAATCCAACACTGAGCCAAAGCAGGAAGAATGGGCTGTATACAAGTACCAGCAAGAGGGTCAACTAAACCAAAAGTTGGTTCTAAGAAGACTAGCAAAGTCACCCTGGCCAGGTTGCTCAGTTGTTAAGCACTGTCCCATACACCAAAAAGGTTTCGGGTTCAATTCCTGGTCAGGTCACATACTACGATGCAGTTTTGATCCCTGGTCAGGGCACATATGGGAGGCAACCGATCTACGTTTCTCTCACACGGATGTTTCTCTCTCTCTCCCCCTCTTCTTCTCTCTAAACATATCCTCCAAAGGTTCATGTAATATTTGAAAGTTAAATAATATAATTTGCAGCACTGATAGATTAAAAGGGAAAAACATATCATCTCAATAGATGAAGAAAATTGTTCAACACCTAGTTAGTGTAAAAACTTGGCAAACTGCAGATTAAAGGTAATTTCTTCAACCTGATAAAGAACATATACTAAACATCTACAGAAAATATCATAGTGATGAACTATTAAAAGCATTTTCTTTTAGATCAAGAATAAGAAAAGAATGTGCAGTATTAACCACTCTTATTTAATACTGCACTGTATCTAGGAAGACCTGGTGAGTGACAAGAAAGAAAGTATAAAGATTGAAAAGGAAGAAACTGTCATTATTTTCAGATACGAATGTCCATATAGAACTCTCCGAAGTATCTATAGCTAAAGTAGTACAATTAATAAGATACTTTTTAAGTCATAAGGATGTAATGTACAGCATGGTGACTATGACTAATACTGTGTTGCAAACTTGAAAGTTGCTGAGAGAGTAATTCTTAAAAACCCTCATCATAAGAAAAAAATTTTTGCAGCGATATATGGTGACAAATGTTAACTAGACTCACTGTGGTGATCACTTTGCAATGTGCACAAATATTAAATCATTATGTTGCACACCTGAAACTAGTATAATGTTATGTCACTTCTACATCTAAAAAAAGGAAATCAGAGAGGTCACTGTATATAAATTATAGCGATATGTAAGAATCCAGAAGTAACCTGTTACACTACTTAAAAATATAAAGTGCACAAGAACACATCTGTAAAAGGATGTAGAAACCCTTGTGAAATACACTATAAATCTTTATTAAAAAACATTTAAAAAGACCTAAATCAATGAAAAGATGTCGCATGTTCTTAGATGGAAAGCTGTCAAATCTCCCCAAATTGATCTACTGATTTAATGCCATTTCAATAAAAATCATAACAAATTCTTCAAGGAACTTCCTGAACGAATACTATAATACATATGGGAGGAAAAGGGTCAGTCATAGGCCAGGCATGCGTGGAGGAAGAGAAGGAACTGGAAGCTTGGCCGACAGGCTACCAGTGCAGCTCAGACACAATTACATGTAACGAGACCAGTGCAAGTGAAGGCAGGTCCCAGAAAAAGACCTACACCTGCATGGAGAACTGATTGATGAGGAAGGAGGCTTGAAGATCAGAAAGGAGGAACTATTTCAGTAAAAAGGACCAGGCCAACTGGTTATTAATACAGAAAACATAAAATTAGATCTAGGCATTGCACCATACACCAAAAATCAGCAATATTGGGTGTGATGGTTAATTTTATGTGGCAACTTGGAGCACAGGGTGCCCAGATATTTGGTCAGACATTATTTTGGGTATTTCTGTGAGGGCGTTTTTTGAATAAGCATAACATTTACATTAGTGGACTCTGAGGAAAGCAGACTGCCCCCCACAATGTGGGTGGGCCGCATCCCATCAGTTGAAATGTCTGATTAGAACACGGAGACTGGGCAAGAGGGAATTCTCCAGCAGAATTCCTCAGCCTGGAACTAGGACTGGGCTACTGGCTCTCCTGTGTCTCCAGCCTATTGGCCCAATCTGCAAATTTTGAGCTTGTCAACCTCCATAATGGCATAAGCCAACTCCTTATAATACCTCTCTTTTTATATAAATACATACCCTATTGGTTCTAAAGAGACCTCCTTAATACAATGGGTTTAGAGAGTGAATTGTCAAATGAAACTGGAAGAGAATGTTAGTTCTGATGTTGCACCAAGAACGCTCAGCACTTAGGAAGACAGGATATGAATTCAAAATGATTGCGGCTAAAATGGGCAAGTTCAAGGGTCACAGGATTTTCCACTGCACAAACTATGGAAAACAACCAAGCTGAATAAACATAAGAGACAGCCATGGTTATTTGTGTAATGATATCTAAAGGAAGTAGAAATTATAGTGGATAAAAAAAAAAATGACCATGGAGCTGATTCAAGTAAGAAGGAGTGACACTGAGATGAATAATAGGAACTATAGGATTAAGAAGATGAAAGTTCATTTATTATCCAATTACTGAAAACATTTCCTGGATGCAGACTATGCCAGGCACTGGGGATACTCAAATTAAGAAGACATAGTCCTTTATCTCGAGGAATTAAAAGTTGAGTAGGGAGACATACATATAGACATTCATAAACCAGTGACGCAGAAGGCGCCCCTGAAGCTCCAGAGAGTGATGCTCAGCTTCGCCGGCTTCCTGATCCTTCCCTTTTATTACCCTCCACCGTTATCGGCAACTTGAGCTCTATTATCATCATCACTGGCATGAAACCATGACTGTAAGTGAAGGGGAAGAGTAAGGCGAGCAGAAAACGCAACCATTGTAAAACAATGAGCACGTGCATTAAGACGAACTGAAATAGGATTATAAATCATGGAGAGAATGTTTATAGGACAGAGACTAGAGTGTGGAAAAGCACTGGACTAGGAGCAAAGAGACCTTGATTTTTACGTCTGATTAGTCCCCTAAATAGATGTGATACTAAGCAGGCCAGAGTCCTCTGTGCCTCAGCAATTTCACCTTTACAATGACTGAACCAGGCAAAACAGCCTCCAAGCCCTTTCCAGTATTACAGCCCTTTTGATTCTATAATTTTCAGGGTGCAAAACAGGGAGGGGGAATTTCAAATGCATCTTATATTGGCAAAAACAGTTCACCTGATGTTGAGAATGGAAGTTGGTATATAGATTTAAAGTCTAAAGACAAGGAGTGATGGTAGCTACAAGCGGTGTTTTGAGCAAAATCAGAATTCTTTAGGATTTACGACCTTATAATACGTGTTATGTCAACCTTCCATTTGAAATAATGATGATGCTTTAGGCTAAAATGAAATGCTTAGAGTGGGGTTGGGGTTCAGAAAAAGTTTATCCTTTGTTAGCATACAGCTCTGCACGGTGGATGTTTGGATCCAAGCCCCAGGCTTCCAATTTGGCTCTCTGCTGGCCCCTGGCACTGCCAACATTCCCTAAGCCCTTCAAACCTCCACTTCCTCATCTGAAAACTGGTATAAAATAACGTTGGCCTCTCCTAGGACAAAAACAGCGAGGACGACTAAACAGTGTACAGCATTAGTCTTACTATGTAATAATCACTTGTGTACACAGCATACCTAAGAAATCAGAGTGGGCAGTGTGTCTAACAGATCAACACTATAAATGATAAAGCTACTCCAAGTTATTTTATTTCAAAAATGATTAATCAGTATAAGATTTCATATTTTCCCTTTGAAAATACCTAAAAAAGAAAAAAGAAAAATACTTATACCTTGTCTGTGGAAATGGGGAAAAAAAATCCTTTCAGATGTGTGTAAATTCTGTATATAATAAGATAGATTAATATCAAAAGTCTTTAAAAATGTGAAAACAGAATTCATGTTTTCCAAGCAAAGCTCTCTTAGAAATGAGAGAGTTACAAAGTGAACTGATAATAAACAGAAACAGAAGGAACAGAGTTCTAGATTAAATCAGTGAACCAAAAAAACCCCACAAAAAACTGTCTGTACAAACATGGACCAGACTCACCCACAGGAGCCACCGGTCCATCCGTATGGGCTCCGTTCGGGAGCCAGAGCCTCCCATCACCGTGGGGTTACAAAATGCCGACATGAGCTTCAGATATGAATCTTAGGACTAAAAAGCGGTTACGCTCTGCTCCTTTCCGAAACACGGCTTAGCAATAACTGCGGGTGCTACTGCTTCCTAGAACTTACTAAACTCTCAGTGCCCTAGCATGGTGAGTTGTGAAAAAGGAGACATTCTAGAAATCTGGAGTTATTAGCAGGTTAGAGTTTTTCAAGGGTTAAACTCTGCTTTATCTTCATGTTACAACAGGTCTCCCCGGGCAGGGAGGACGCGACTTACACTGGGCCCGCCTCCGTGCATCTTCAGAGCGCGCACTGTTGCCACGAGCACCACGACGTTGGGCACCAGACCAGAAGCTCGACACTTGATGTTGAAGAACTTCTCCATGCCAATGTCAGCACCAAAGCCGGCTTCAGTTACTGTGGAGAATCAAGTTGGAAACTTGCTATTATCGTCTGGAAACAACAGGACAGGGTTTGGCAGCCACTGGTGTGGCTACAATTCAAAGGACAGCCGAAATTCCCACCGCCTCCAGGTTACTGCCAGCACTGCATCGTGTTCATATGCTAAGGTAGACTGCTGCTCCCACATTTCAGAAAATGTCCTATTTCCTCACATTCCCTACAAGTTGGCTCTCTCTGCCTAGATTTTTCTTCCCAGGATAGTAACTCTGAGCAAAGCTTTCCTTAACACAGATGGGATTTTCAACTTTTTAATCAGGTTCTAAATTGTATCAAAGTCCATCGCTAGTGTAATTACCATAGCAAATCCTTTTCTCACTCTTTATATCATACATAGACTCAACCATATTTCAGTGCCACCCGGCATTTCTGTTGATTGAAAAAATTCAAGTTAGTTGAGTGGCTTAAGGAGGCTGATTATCAAGCTTGATACAGCATAGAATATTTAAATTTTTTTAATTGATATCAGAGAGGAAGGGAGAGGGAGATAGAAACACCAATGATGAGAGAGAATCAATGACTGACTGCCTCTGCACGCCCCCTACTGGGGATTGAGCCCGCAACCCAGGCATGTGCCCTGACCAGGAATCAATCCGTGACCTCCTGGTTCATAGGTCGATGTTCAACCACTGAGCCACACTGGCTGGGCACAGAATAGCACCTTTATTCCATAAGCACAGAGGACACGATAGGGATTCAGAACAGGTCTCCCCAGAATTTGTCACCCTGGCAGGCAGATTATTTTGAGCCAAAGACTCCTGAGATCCAGGTCCAAAAGGCTCTGGACGCTTTTACTCTCCCCCTAACTACCGAGCAGAATCCAGGTAAAGGCCTGGTCCAGGAGGAGACATCTACGAAGAGTATGAGCTGGGTGTGGAAGGGGGACTTCAAAGCGTTGGGGACCAGAGTCCTCTCTGTCCCCAGAGTTTCTGCATGGCCCTGCAAACACTTGCTTTTCCACCCCCATGTGAATTCTTCCTCTTTGAAGCCCCAGACTTTTACTTCTTCTCTTTAATTCAGAATGGCCTATGAGCGCCAGGTACCTGATTGCCCGTGAGCCCCATATTCTTACGGCGCTCCCATACATATGAAATTAAACTTGATTTTCTCCTGTTAAACTGTCTCATGTCAATTCTTAAACCAGCCAGAAGAACTTAGAAGGCTAAAGGAGACATTTTTCCTTCCCGACAATACTCATCGTTAGCCACCCCCTCCCCTGCTCCCAAATTGCTCGAACGGTTGCTGTGGCACGCATGGAGGTAGCAGAGAGCATGTCTACTATCGTCTCCCAAGACGACACTGCTGTCACTGGGTCAGCAGCCACGTCCTCCTACACAAAGGGAAGCTCTAGGCCCAGCAGCACAGGGGCTTTGTGAGAAATGCAGACTCTCAGGCCCCCTGCAGACCCACCGAATCAGAATCAGATCCCCGGGTGAGATGAATGCCCACTGAAATCTGAGAAGCACCGTCCTCCAGGAAAGCAATATTATGAATGTAACGGAAACGAAAGTTTATGAAAAATACTCTATATAATGACAGTACCACCAAGGCCATCATTTTTAGCAGAGACATGAACCGGTGGTAAAAAAAAACGTTACCAAGATAAATACATCAACCAGATGATGTAATTCTTTATGGTTTCCTTTTAGTATTTCATATGGCCACATAATTTTTATACAGTGGGTATAATTTCATAATTCTGCTCCTTCACTTTAAAATTATCAGTTTTCAAGACTGACATATTTCAGAGGAAAGGCAGGGCTAGGGGTGGCTGGGAGGGGAGTAATTAACTAAGGAATGAGGAACGTATATGCATAGCCCTTGGACACAGACAATAGAGTGGTGAAGGCCTGGGAGGGGTGGGTATGATATGGAGGGGGTCAATGGGGGAAAAACCCCCACAAATAAACAAAGGGGACATCTGTAATACTTTCTACAATAAAGATAAATTTAAAAAAATTAAAGTTATCAGAGTTTTCTTGCTGTATTACATACTTTCAAAATTTATGACTGTAAGTGGCAGCTTATAATTTTGTTACGTTGGATGAACCAAGATTTACAAATTGTTCCCTTGTTATTGGACGTTTGGGCTGTTTCCAACATAAATAATGCTGCAAAATATCTGTGCGTATGAGCTTTAACCTCTTTCAAATTACATTCTTGGAATCAATTCCCAGGGGAGAGAGTACAGGGCCAGACTACGTAAAAAAATTTTATGACTCTTGATATGCTTTTGACAAACTGAAAAATATTCCCTTAAAAATATTCAATTTGGAGTGAATAGAGCTACAAGTCACTTTTTCCTTTATTACGTTTTCTTTGAACAAGCAATGTAGTAGAACAATTTAAAGAAGTAGGAGGAGATATTTTTATACGGTATTTGGGGCAATTCTAGTGATTTCGTTAGTGGTGGTCAAAACCGGAGGGCTGACAGTAGCGATCCCCACACCAGGGTGCCTCTGGGGAAACCAGCATGGTGGTGGGACAGTGGACCCACAAGAGGAATACTCAGTTCACTCTGTCAAAGGTCATATAGAGTGGGCTCCCATTAGAGGAAAAGACAGGCGGCAAGGCCATCAGTACTGGATTACTGTTGATTGTCCTGCTGGTCAGTATCAAAGACGGACCACAGACCGACAGACAGACAGACGGGCAGGATCCAGAATCCCTTCTAGCTGCAGCATTCTAATTAGACGTAGGTTGGAGGGCAGGGACCATAACTTATTAATCTTTGTATCTCCAGTCCCTGGCACGTACAAATAGATGAATTAACAAAGATATGAAGAAACTTTGGAGTGGGACCCAATAATGATCTACAGCAGTGTTCTCAACCTTCTGGCCCTTTAAATACAGTTCCTCATGTTGTGGTGACCCCCAACCATAAAATTATTTTCGTTGCTACTTCATAACTGTAATGTTGCTACTGTTATGAATCGTAATGTAAATATCTGATATGCAGGATGGTCTTAGGCGACCCCTGTGAAAGGGTCGTTCGACCGCCAAAGGGGTCGCGACCCACAGGTTGAGAACCGCTGATCTAAAGTAAAGGCTATCACTCGATGGAGATAGATAGACATTTGCTAATCCTCACCTGAGGATATGTTTCCATTGATTTCTAGGGAAAGTAGAAGAGAGAGGGAAAGACAGAGAGAAACATCAATGTGAGAGATTGATGGGCCGGGGAGGAGCCTGCAACCAAGGTATGGGGCCTTGACTGGAATCGAACCTGGGACCCTTTGGTCCTCAGGCCGACACTCTATCCACTGAGTCAAACCGGCTATGGCAAGATAGGTAGATAGACATTTAACACAGAAGTAAAGGTGTTCTGATACTTCCCTAGCAGACGTCTCTTTTTTCTCATAAAATACAAAAGTTTTAATAAAAGGTATAAATGTCATATTTGGTAAAGAATGGCCATTTGAAATGTCTAGCTAGCTAGCTAGCTAGTTTAAGTTCATATTTTAAGAGACAAATTGGGGGGGGGGGGAGTAACAAAGAGAACTTCAGCCCGGCCACACATGCCCGGGTTGGTCCCCACTTGGGGGGGGGGGGGCGCTTGCAGGAGGCAGCCAATCAGTGATTCTCTCTCATCATTGATGTTTCTATCCCACTCCCCTCTTTCCCTTCCTCTTTGAAATCAATACAAATATATTTTTTAAAAAGAGAGAGAGCCAAAACCGGTTTGGCTCAGTGAATAGAGCGTCGGCCTGCGGACTGAAGGGTCCCGGGTTCGATTCCGGTCAAGGGCATGTACCTAGGTTGCGGGCACATCCCCAGTAGGAGATGTGCAGGAGGCAGCTGGTCGATGTTTCTCTCTCATCGATATTTCTGACTCTCTATCTCTCTCCTTTCCTCTCTGTAAAAAAATCTATAAAAAAATATATTAAAAAAAATAAAAAAAATAAAAAGAGAGAGAGAGAAACTCAGGGAAGAAAACAGGATGCAGTATTAAAGATCCAGGAACTGTGGCTTCCAAATGCAAAGGAAATGTGTAGGCAAATAATGTGAGAACAGAAGTAAGTGCCAATTCTTACACTTTGAAAACTGCTGTGCAATTCTGTAATCATCACACTATTTGCTTTCAAATAGTCAGGCTGCTGCTAAGGACAACAGAGAGCGTGGAAAGGGTAAGCGGGTGTGCCATCGGTAATTACGAAAGTCAGGAACACTTAATAAGGCGTCATCGACAAGTATTAGCTTGGAAGTGGACACTGTGGAGGGCCCTGTATCTGTGTCTTAGAACCTCAGGGGGTCTTGATGTGAGAAGGGGACAAGCCACTCTTACTGGCAGGTTCTGTTTCCTAGGCACTTCCTAGGAATTGCCAACATAGAAAACCTGCAAGTTTTCCTAGGGACCTGAAACAAGCATGCATTTCCTTACCATAGTCACCGCTCTCAATACACTTAAAAAGAGATACAGGCTGAAGAATTATTTAATGTTGACTTTAATTATGGACTTACTCTTGAGTCCTGAAGCAAGTACACCGACTATGACCTAGCATTCCTGGAAAGCATGTAATGTAGACCTTTAGAAAGGCTTGCAAGAAAATGTTTGCCCATGCCTCAACAGTTATTTGTCTTGGCAATCTCTGTTATGCAGGGGGAAGGGGCGGAGGCTACCGCTAGTCAACTTACAACATGAACGAGAACAGGAAACACTGATTTACTGTGTAAGCACAGAAGCTATTAGATAGTAGCATGGCTTGATTCAAACTTCAAAACTCATAATCTGCTCAGAAAGGAAGTGTCAGTGGGTCTGGATGGGGAGGGATGACACCGTGGACGAGCACGGTTCGTAACTACACAGGAAACAGCTCGGGGTTCTGCTGGAGAGCAAAAGGCACGACTGGCCAGCCAGGCAGCGGGCTTCCATGCTGATCCCAGGGGCACCCTGAATCCTATCGCACAAACTGAACAGAAACAACAACACACAACAATCACACGCGACTGGGAGGCAC